CCTTTAACAAACACCTGTAACAAACACCTGTAACAAACACCTTTAACAAACACCTTTAACAAACACCTTTAACAAACACCTTTAACAAACACCTGTAACAAACACCTTTAACAAACACCTGTAACAAACACCTCTGTAGTGAACCAGATGACCTCAAATATACCAGATGGACAGAGACTGTTATTTTCATTGATCTGAATAAGTCTGAACCATCTGATGAACTTTCTTTCTTGAATTAATCAAGCAGAAAAGACAATCCTCTATAATCATTACTGTCTTACAAATGTTTTGATAATCAAATTGTGTTAGTTCACTCAATGCTTTACAGGTTGAAAAGAACTACTAATTTTTATTTTACATAAACAGTAAGTAATGATTTTTGTTCCTCATTCAGAGAAGAAATCACCTGAATATGCCTTTCTTGATTTTCTGTCTGAAATGAGCAAGCTGTCGTAAGTATGTTAAAGGTTGGTTTTCGGTCAACTAAAATGTTTACCGAGAAAAATGTCATGTTTTACTATTTGAAAAGATTACAAAGTGTGAGACTCCACGAAGTCTGCTGTTGCTGAAATAATCTTTTCTGTATGTTGTAAACAATCCTTGACTTATGATAACATCTTACGTCACAAATCCACTCCTCTTTCTGGTCCTTCCACGAATCAGAAAGCTCTAAATTGAACAGGAAGTCGACCCAAATAAAATGTGGCAACTTCTCAGTTCAAGAGAGAATAGAAGAATGAGAATTATGAATTCCAGAGTCCAACAGAACGCTAGAAGTCTAACAGTGCTAAGAGAGTTCTGAGAGATGTTGGAATGAGAGCTGATAGAGAGTGCAGAAGATTCCATGGAGAGTGGAAAAGTTCTGAAGGAGTTCCGAAGAGAACTAGAGTTATGAAGAGTTTGGAGTTATGAAATCCAGAGACGTTTTGGGATTATAATTCTGTTTTGAACTAACCACGCACGACTCTCCGAGGATTTTTAGCTGTTCTGAACGGAGGCGCTGAAACAGTCTGAAGGACTCTTACTGAGCTGATCTATCGTCAAACCAGGTAAAGATTTCCTCTTCGACTCAAGTGTACCGTGGACGGGCTGAGGATCTGACGAAGCGTGCAATTTCTGGTTAAACAGATTAAACTTCCCTCACACAGTTCTCTGTAAGATAATCTCCTTTCACTCTAAAACCCACCTCTCTCTCATAAATCAGTACAGATATTTTAGAAATATCTTAAGCAAAGTCCTCAAATCACCGCCGAGTGATTTGAAGTTCATTTTCTGTGAAACTGTCTGTTATTATTTCCATATTTTGCCAAATTAATGTAAATGTTTGATGTTAAACTTTGATTCTGAAAATAAATGATTCCATTCATTTGATGGGTCAAAGATAAATAACGTCTCTCGTTACATTTCTGTTAAACTCAATGCACGGCATTTACAGTCAGAAAAATGAAGAACTCGTGAATATTGTATGCATATATAATTCATATATTTGTCATACAACAAGTGACACGTACCTCACGTGTCTCACTACACCTGTAACAAACACCTTTAACGAACACCTGTAACAAACACCTTTAACAAACACCTGTAACAAACACCTGTAACAAACACCTTTAACAAACACCTGTA